ATTCGGAGGTTACTCGTGCATACAGGAATCGGAGGAATTTTGAATGCATGTCCCATATGGGCAAGTGGAGGTAGGCGTCCTTAAATCTAAAGTGACTGAATGCATAGGGAATCCAACACCGTGCGAAGTGTTTCCATCCGGAATCATTTTGGTCGAATAAACCTGTTGAGCGGACGAAGATTCAGGATGGGACGCCAATCTCCGGGATTCTTCTTCGGAGTTAGAAAAAATGTGGAGAAGAACCGTATGTTGGACTCTTCCCGAGAAAATTTTTGTATTGCGCGTTTCTGGAGGAGAGATACAATTTCGGACTCTAGTGCCTGACGCTTGGTCGGATCGGAGGGCACTGGAGTGAGGCGACAGATCATTCCCGACGGTGGGTTGCTTGTGAATTCCAGGGCATATCCGCGAGATACGGAACTGAGCACCCACCCGACAGAACAAAAACGGGCCCAAGTCTCTGTAAAAGCTTTAGACGGGCCCGAGATCGGGGGCCAAAACAGGGAGCCTGTCATTTATGCCAAGGTCCCCCTCCAAAACCCCTTCCAGAGCGAGGGGTAAAGGAGAACCCTCAATGTCTCCCTCAGCGGCCAAAGGACAATGGCCGTTAATAAGCTGCCGAGGCTGTACGTGTCGAGGATTGAGCTGTAGTGGTTATGGTTGTGGCTTCAGCAGGTTGGCTTGTTCGGGGACAAAAAGGCTGTAGTGGTTTGCGAGGCAAACGCTAAAAAGATGCTTTATTCCGCCCCTGGCAATCCAAGACCCTTTAACATCTGATGACTTTTGGAGGTTTATCTCTTCGCTGGCCTCAATTCGTTTTGCTTCTTCCTCCATCAGTTCTTGAAACTTATTGTTGAATAAGTCAGAACCAAAAAATGGAAGAGCAGCGAGGCGTGCCCGCGCGTGTAAACTGTTCCATGCACAGCTGTAAACACTCACCCATACATCGGAAAACCATTTCAGTGGACTCTTGGGAAACATCAGAGTCAACTTCACTAGTACAGACTAAAAATTTGGAAAGCAGCTGTGAAAAGCAATTGAATTTCAACCCAAAACGTGTCCACCTTCGCCAGGGTATCTTCCAATTGCCACGCACGCGGTCGAGAAAGGGGGATTTCCCCGATGCCCGGTTGCCCCTGTTGGCCGCCATTTTATCCTTGGCTGCGTCTAATATTACCGGCACTGCCAAATATTTGTCGTGATCCTTCAGCGGCACCCGAAAGGTCTGTGCCTTAATACTGTCTTTGGGCTGCCAGTTTTATGTGCCACCAAAGCTCCAATGCGGTCTGTACAAACTTTATCTATAGGGAACGCAGAGAATGTTTGTCCCCGTGGCCGAGACTCGGACGGGGCGGTCCGGTGTTTGAAAGACTGCCGTTCATCCTGTCCTGTGACGGTTTTCAGTGAATTTGAGCTGGAACTCGAGCTGGAACAGTGACATCTACGCTTATGATGGCGATGGTTCCGAGAAGTAAGAATCATGCTGACTTTGGTGAAATTCGGGAACCTGCATATCCGGGATGAAGGGATCAGGGTCTTCCGGATCCGGTGCCTCGGACCAGGCCAGGCACCCGGGTGCGTCGGCTGAATCCGCTGGGGGCCCAGCTATTTACACGGATGCCGGACTTATTGGGCTCGCCAGCTTTCGGCGTTTTCTGCCGGGCCCCGGGCCCGCCGATGGGCTGGCTCAGTGCACTTGGAATATCAGTCTGGGCTTTTTCGGCCCTGGTACCCGTGGACAGAGGCCAAACAGGCATGTCGCCGAGCACCGTGTTATCGGCCGAGGCTCCCTCGGCCCCGGGACCAGAGGACAGCGGCCGAGTCGGCATGTCTCCGGGCCCCGTATTGCCGGCCGAATATTGCTTGGCACTAAGCCCCGAGGACAGAGGCCTAGCAGGCATGTCTCTCGGGGCCGATTTGGCGGATTTACTTACCCGTTTAGTCTTAGTAGTAGCTGGAGGCCTACCAGGCACAGCTCTACCTCTACTCTTGGCAGCAGTGCTGGACAGCGGCCTATCAGGCATATCAGCAGAGCCTAGTAGGGAAGACGTTTGTAGGGCAAAGTGCTCCGAAGAACCGCTCCGTACCAAATCACCACTGGGGGAATGACTGCTCAGCCACGCCGAGACTCCATTCAAATCATCGGAAGCCCATGCTTTGCATAACTTGCACGGGTGGGCCCGAGAACAAACCCTATGCTTGGGGCATAAATCATGCACATCCCACCTGGATCGCAGTTAAATAATTCTACAGTTTGTACAAGTAACAAAATTAGGCGGGGTGAGACCACACCGTGCGCTACTTGCATCTGCCATCTTGAAAAATAAGCGAAACGAGAAACATTTACAATGTTTACTCGGAACACTGAATTTAATCACAAGAAAATCTGAGGAACGCTGTGACAAACTAACAAGAACTCAATAGTAAATCAACAGTAAGTTTAAAAGAGAATAAACACTTCTAGAGCTAGCGAAAATTGTATATTGAGAGAGCTTCAATAGAATACGACTACACCTGATTGGCGATAGAAGAAAAGAGGACGATATGCCGCTTGGCTAGCCAAGATGCACATCTTGTCAAGTATCTCATTCATTACACAGGCATACATATCACAAACAACTATTGGTAGTACATTCCAAAAAAAGTATAAAAGACGAGGAAAAAAGCTCATTAACTTTTCCTTGGCGCCCTTTGAGTATATGTCGCCAATTTCATAAACAGATATGTTACCGCTTTTCGTGCAGGGTAGAACCTGTCACGATAATGACAGTTCTATGTTCCCATTGTACATTAACCGAGCCGACTGTAGAGTTATATTGTTCATGTGGTACTATTGAAGTTTGCATATCTGGAGAGTTTCCCAAATTGTTCACTGTTATTATCATGTCATTTCTTGGACCAAACTTTAACACTTGGGTGGACAAGGGAGCTAGTGTTTTCTTTCATACTTTTGATACGTCAAAGACGAGATTTTCACTTAACTACTCTAGTATATAAGACTTTAACATCCAAATTGCCTCCTCAACTTTGTAACTGTTTTTATTTTGTTTTTAGTACCCACTCATACAATACCAGGTCTGTTTCACAAGGTAACCTAGTTCCTCCTATATCCAAATCTAACTCAGGAAAACGTAAATTTGCATATCGTGGAGTTAATTTATTCGATGATCTCGCTGCGACACTTAAACATCCGTTGCCTCCCACTCTTGCCAGTTTTAAGTGCCTCTACAAGAACCTGATAGTTTAATATTACATGGTACATGTAAGTCTTGCCTTTGTCTTTTTACTGCCAATGTAACAACCCTGATTAACCTTGTCTCATTTTATTGTTTATTAATCTTCTTTATCTTTTTTAATGTTTTTATTGCTTGTTTTTCTAGTTTTATATTATCGTATGTTTGTTGTAACTGCTGGGTACCTTTGAAATAACAGTGTTCCACTGAAAAGTCTCCCCAGGATAAACAAATAATAAATAAATATGTTTCTATTAATAGTCAAACTTTCTATTATCCACTATTAAAGGTTATAACTTAACACAAGTATAAAGACATAAATTCAGCGAAGGATGTTGCAGTGATTTCAAGGCTATAATATTTTGTCATATTGGCCTTGGAAGTGACACCATCTTCAGCTAACATATTGCATTTTTGGCTATTACGGCACAAACAGCCTTTGTTTTCATTAAGATTATTATTTTTTTCACACTCCTGCATTTGTACACGTTTTCATCCTGCATGTCACTTTGGACACTTACATCAATCCAATTGCCTTTATACTTTAATATTTCTGTTATTTAAATGGGTGGGGGGGAGGGAAATGTCCCCGCCCACCCTCGAAAAATGATAAATCAAGAATATGCTAGAAAAGTAAAGGGATTTCGGGGGATCATGTGTTTTGCCCCCCCCCCCCCAGGAATAATCCTGGTGACTCCCATGGTTGGAAGCATTAGGGTCGGGCCGTAAACAATAGGGTCGGTCAGGTAACCACAAGCACGTCCCTGGCAGAAGTCATATATTTTTTGGCATTATTGCTGGGCATATTCACCAGCTGCTTTTAAGTTTTTTGGCAACACCTTGAGAATGCACTTTTGTTGATTAAAAAAAAAACTTTTTCTACCTTTTTATTTCATTGCATTTCACCTCCGAATATTCGATTCCGAAAATAAATATTCGAATATTTGAATATTTGGCACAGCCGTAGTGGATGTTGGATGAGGAAAAGGGTACAATGGGCAGATGATGTTCACATTTTGGAAACTGTATTTCGGTCACTTTGTATATGTATTACACAGGCCCAGTTTAAGTGTTTCATAGGCCCTAGGCACCAGTGTTCCGTAGGCCCTACTCCACCCCAGGCAGGCACCGGCACCAAATTCAGCGTACAAAGCACTGTACAAATCAAGCTAGGCCAAACTGGTATAGGTCTTAGCTCTAAAAGCATGTTGGCACCAAGGGCGTCAATTGCTTCTCAAAAGTGGGGGGGGGGGGGTGGTTAAATTTGGTACAAACATGTGTATCTCGATGAGAACTAATTTGAGTGAGAAACATAAATGGCGTGGGGTTCGAGGTTCGCACAAAGGCCCCGAAAAATGGATTCTAGACGCTCCGTGGTGCGATCTGAGGCAGTTTCTGACTATTGGCAACGTATAACAAAAAAACATGGGTACTGGGAAAGCTTGATGCTCTGTTCATGAATAGACATTGCTCTACCTTTTTCCTATTGACAAGACTCGTCCTTTGAAAGAAATGTCAACAGAAATTTAAGAAATTATGACTGAAAAAACAAATTGCCTTTTTCTTCAATTTCGACATGGGTCTGATTAAGAATAAAGGTTGTGAAAACTGTCTCTGCAGGTGAAGTGCAAATGCAGCCCTCTCCTTTGTTTCAACATGGCCAAGGATGGATGGTAGGCGATGGTTGGAGGGGGGATAGGCTACCATCCCTCCTAGAATTACACCAATACATACGGTGTTTCTTGCAGGAAAGAATGTCAAACTTACACGTCCAAGTTTCACCAGAGCTTCTGCCTCAGTAGGCTCAATGGCATATGCTGCCATGATTTTCAGCAGTTGGGAGGGAGGAGGCTTGGCAATCTCCAGGAAGCACTTGAGGGCCTGGCGAAGGGAGCAAACAGGGAGATGCTGGTACTTTACCCACTTGTTGTTGAGGTCTGGAAGGCAAAAAGGTGAATCAAATACCATAGGATCAGAATCTTCAGTACAAATGAAACAAATAACAGGAAACTGCCATAAATTACCAGCACAAAAAAACCTAAATTACCTTCAGTGCAACACATACACACACAGTTGTACTTTACAAAAAAAATATTGAAATCTACAATGCTTTCTTCTGCATTCTAAGGCAATTTGAGAATTGGAAATTATTCCATATCATTCCATTGATAATTTTTGGCCCCATTTTAGTATCATAACATTAGTCAGCGTCTAAATGGGTTGGGGGGGGGGGGGGGGGGAAAGGGTGTTTGCAACACCCAACCCCTTAGATCCCCCACTGTACACTCTTACACATTCACCATTTGTGCTTTGTAGTATAGCATTGATTAAATGTCCTTGCCACTGCACACCTAATACAGGTTTGTGTGCATTCAGACTACATTAGTCTTGCCTCTCATCCATGGATCGGACATCAGTGCATGCTATTTCAGTGTCTCCCTCTCCTGATACACGAAAAGCCACCTGTTGTTCTTGCACAACATCAATACACTAGCTGAAAGCATAGCAAGAAGTTTTTCTAAGGAATAATGGTTGCTGGAAATTATGAAATCTTGAATTATCAAAATGTGCTGTAAACCCTTTTCGCCTAACCTTTGTTATTGTCATCTTTTTCCTCCCGGCACTCTATCTTGATGAGGTCATTCGGGCTTAAGGCACAGTCCACCCTTTCCAGGACACCCTCCACTAATTCTTCTCTATTCTGTGGAAAGACGGCAGCATGGTCGCCAGCCTCGTACAGCAACTTTTCCTCTTCACTTGTGTCAAGCTTCACCAAATTTGTGGCCCGCCTACACAATATCAGTTTTGTTATTAATGTTTCTTTGGGGTTGAGGGGGAACATTACTTGATGCCTGGGATACTGTTTTTTCATACGTAATTTATGTTTATGTACATAAATATCCATGTTGATGGGCCTCTTTCCAGCAGTTTCTAATGTTAAATATATATACACTATTGGTTTAGTTACCCTCTTCTTATCTTTCCTTTTGTTCCTTTCTTCCATTTGTTTTGTATTTTATTTTGTTTTGTTTGGTTTTCTTTTGTTTTCATGTGGCACACTATGGTCAATGTCCTTGTCCAACCCGTCCCCGTTTGTCGATCACCTTGCTGCTGCAAGGTACGGTAGCTGTGTTTGGCACAGCATTAGGAAGCAATGAAAGTACTTTCCGAGAGTGTGATTTAATTTCTTTGACTCGTCAACTGATGTTTCAAGTACACTTCCACAAATTTGGTGGTTTGATTTTAAAGTTTAGTTGTGCTTTTTTAAGCTTGTGCAGTTGTGCATAGCTTGGTAGCCTGCCAAGCATGTTCTACAGTTTGGGGAACACTGGAAACCAAAAAATCTTGTTATCCATTGATTGTGTACAGTAAGACACAATCATTTTACACTCATCCAAAAATCAAGGTGAGATGCATGGAATATTACTGATCATAATTACAAAATGCTTTGATCTAGCTCAAAGTTCTTGTGTATTTTTCTAATAGCATGTCAAATTTATTATAACAATCAGTCACCAGAAGGGGCTGGATCCCTCCCCCTCCTTTTGTAAGATGACACAAAAGTATGATTCTTTCTTTTGGTGTCAACTGAATCAAGATACCCACCCAGATGAGGGAGCCTGTAGATTTTTGCAGGAGAGCAGCTTGCAAGGGAATGTTTGCTTGCCATGAAGCCTGTAAAGTGCCATATGTGGGTCTGTTGCCCTGACTCCTTCAGCCTCAGGCACAATGCGGAACTTCTCATCAGCCCAGCTGGAATCTGGTGCAGTGGGTACAGTACCCATCACCATGTCAGATGCATCCTGACGCTTGATGCAGAAGGTATCGCATGCTTCCTGTTATAGAAAACAACATTAAAAACTTACAATGAGTAATCCAGGAAGATATTCCAGTATTTGTTCTGTAGAAACAGTCTTCAAAACCCAAATTTTGGGGATAACTCGTTCTGATGACCGTCTCCTTCAAGTAATTAATCAGGAAACATGCATACAACTTTATACACAGAACAGATTGCCATGTGGGAAAAAAAGCTTTCCAAAATGTCAAGTGTCTTAAATTTAGCTTATTCGGCACATCAACCCTAATGACCGGTTTATAGCAGCATATGTATACTGATATTGGATTCCATCACGTTGATAAATATATAGATACCTTTTTGGAATCAAAAATATTGCAGCGACGAAGCTTTCGATGTCATCGCGACATCTTCATTCAGCATAGTGAAGTTAACCACTCCGGCCATGTGACCACCCCCTGGGCGACCACAAACCAGCAGGCCACCGCAGACGGCGGGCAGATCGAACCCGGTGTCTCCGCCAAGGGATAGCCCCCGTTTCCCGACTTCGACCGCCTCGCGAATCTTCCCCCTCCAGAACCGGCCCTCCCCAGCAACGACTTGGACACCCTCCAAGCAGATGGAGCGCCAGTGACCCCAGATGTGCCCACCAACCGTGTGCCAAATGTGCCAAAGGGGCCAGCCCCAGGTCGGAACGCTCCCTGAACCTGGCGCCCAGCGATCCGCTCGCCTCGCCAACACATGCCCTGGGGCAACCAGGACATTGGATCTGCAGATAACACCGCACCCATTTCGACGTGGGGTCTCATGCCCAGGGTAAACCAAAAACGATCCGACAGCGTTGATTGGCCCATGGCACGTTCCGACACCACAGTCTCGGGCCCCCCGGGCCTCGGGATCCCATGCATCCAGTCCCTGCAACCGTCAGCCCCGACGGCGGACCCAACATGCCTGCGCACACCAGTGTTGTAGGACTCGAGTCCAGGACTCGGACTCGAGTCGGACGCAAACCACATTTTTTTTTACTTGGACTCGACTCGAGTCACATTGGAAAATGACTCAGACTCGGACTCGGACTCGACCATGATGACTCGGACTCAAGCTTGGTGACTCGTGACTCGAGTCACGTATTTTCATTAAAAGAAAAAACATAACGTTATGTATTTGTGCGAAAAACCATTGAGCTATTAAACGGAAAAACGTAGCATTCTTTTTTACACCTGACAAAACATGGCGCCGCACAAAATCGTATCCAGGGCCGCGCACGCACGCCCTGCGCCCGCAGGACGAGCACCAGGGCCCGGTGTCATGCCAAAAAGTTTCCGGTATTATGGAGGAGTTTTTTTAGGGATGGGAATTAAAAGGAAAACATATTTTGGGTCTAAACAACATGTACTAGCACGTTTGCCTATGGTGTAAATCGAGGATTTTCTTTTGTTCCTCTTCTCTTTTCCTTTGTTTGTTTTCGCATCAGCTCTCATTGGTTTTGTACACGTTTTCTAATCGAGGTCGTCCTCGATTTGGTTCCTATCCTCGATTCACCGATGATGTTGCACTTGTGTGTCCTCGATTTACAGCATAAACAAACGCAGAGCGACACACAAGGTAAACTGTATACACTGGGATTACTTAAAAGACAGAATGGATGATTGAAAAATATATTTTAATAAATTATTATTTTGGTGAACAACTATTAAAGTTCACAGTTCTTTATTATAAAGAACAAGTGACTCAGACTCGGACTCGAGGCTTGTGACTCGAGACTCGGACTTGGACTCAAGGCTTGGGACTCGGACTCGAGGCTTGTGACTCGGGACTCGGACTCAACGTTGGTGACACAACTACAACACTGGCGCCCACAGCTCCCTCCCTGGCCAGCAGTCACAATCCCGTCGACCCCGTCCAGCAATGCCCCCACCACTGACCGCCTGCGTCCCAGGCCGTGGCCGGAATCAAAGTTTAGACACTGGTCGGCATGGGTAGGCTTCCGACACATGGTGACCCCCGTGCTGCTGACACGGATGCAGGCATCCGAGAAAGGGAGTCCACCGTCATGCCCGGGTCCACCGGCAAACCCGACGCTGGGGCCAAGGTTGTCAACATGCGTCGCAAACTCCCCAATGCTGCATTCATGCATAAGAACAAATGCATCGTCCACGCACCTGAGCCACAGCAACGGCGGGCGCGGAGCTGTGGACAAAGCCCTAGCCCCGAAAGGGGGCCATCCCTTGGCGGAGACACCGGGAGCGATCTGCCCGCCATCTGCGCTGGCCTGCTGGTTTGTGGTCGCCCAGGGGGTAGTCACATGATGTCGCGATGACATCGAAAGCTACGTCACTGCAATATTTTTGCTTCCAAAAAGGTATCTAAATATTTCTGACCAGTTTATAGTTGGTGATATATGACCCGTTTATGCTTGGTTACGTGACTGAAAAATTGATGCACAATTATTTTACATTCAGTTTAATATTGTCACTGAAGTGCCAGCGACTAGCCGCCAAAAGAGTTCATATAATGGCACTTTGACAAGATTGCTGACCTCATTATTGCACTGAACCAATAGGATTGTTTGATCTAGCCAGGCACTAATTAGCATTATGCTTAAATCATGTCGTCAGCTATAAATTTTGCTTGCTTTAAAAAATATCTGCTTCCATTTGTTCGTATAAGCACGGTGACTTTGAACATTGCGCACTCCTACTCTGACTGCACAATGGTTATTACAATGAGCCAAGGGCGGATCCAGAACACAATTTTAGGGAGGGGCCAAAAAAAAATTTTGGATTCTAGATGCTCTGTGGTGCGATCTGAGGCAATTTCTGACCACTTTAACCAATGTTTTTTTGAGGAAAAGATGGCGGTGTACTCATTGCCTGCCTTTATTGCGATGTCACATAAAAAAAAAAAAAAGGTCTCGTTTTTGGGGGGGGGCCATGGCCCCCTTTGGCCCCCCCCCCCCTGGATCCACCCTTGCAATGAGCATGTTCAGATATACCACACACCTGATAGATGTTTTCTGCCCAATTCAGAAACTCTACCTCTTGACCAACCAATTCGTCACCCTCAGCAATTTCCAGCAGCCTCTCCCCTCCCAGCATGCCAAGCTGTGCATCAAGGGCGTGGGCAAAAGCACAGAAGTGTGGGTAAGCCGTGGAGCCCAGACCAAACACAGAATACCTGGAAAGAAATGGGTCACACAAATAATCCATGGAATTCCATAGGGAAAATTGACAACAATGAGATTTGATCAGGCAGGTTGGGGAGAGAGAACATTAGGAGTGTTCAAAGCTCAAACCTAATCTCTATTTTCTTTTTCTTTTTAGTAAATGAAGAAAATTGCCAAGAATGGGATTCAAAGCTTTGACCTCTTGTACAATGAATGTTGAGTATTTAAGAATAAAAAGGACAAACATGGATCATTAAAAAAATCCTTGTCATGTTCTTCAAAGAATATCTTTTTTAATAAGAGAACAAAGATATTTGGCAAGAATGGGATTTGAATCTGTGACCTCCGGAACACCATACAAGTGCTTTATCAACTGAGCTACAGCATCTTGGATGTCAGTTGGGCTAATATCTTGGGCTGCTTCGTACAGGATTTTGTTAACTGTATTGGTTATTTTGTAGTTACAGCTTTGCTTTCCTGCGTTCATACACTACAGTGATATATCCATATCAGCAGGGGAAAAAAATTCAACACATTCTCTCTCAGCTGCAAGTAAAATTAGATTTTAAATCTTTATTTGGTTTCAATGCCTGGCAGTTGGACTTGGTCTGACACATCTCTGATGACAGTTTTTACAAACTTTTGTCTAGACCAGGACAATTTTACTTTTTTAAAATAGATTTTTGATTATTGTCCAAAGATATAAAATAAGAGTGCATGTCCTAATACCCCAATTCAATTAGGGAATAACAGTGTTAGGACCCAGTCTTCACTGCGTGATAATGACTGGGTTGGGGGATGGCTGCTGTTAATGGACGGAGCTGAAGAATTAACTGCGGCCATCCCCCAACCCGGTCATTATCACGCAGTGAAGACTGGCTTTTCACACTGTTATTCCCATTAATAAATACCTTTTTAATGAAATGTACAGTTAAAATGCTCAAATTTTGTGATTTTTCTTTCTGCAATATTTCTAGACTGTTTTTGTTCATGTTGAAGGGCCATATTTTAGCTTATGCATGCGATATGCTACCCTATGCCAACTGTGTTGCATACGCGCGTGCAAGTCTTCACGTGATGGCGGTTGAGCGCATGTGCACAGCCGCATTGTTACAAGCTACCGTAGGACTTTTGTATATCTGGCCAATCATTGGCTTCTATGATGCTCAATCAATGCTGGTTCAGGGGCCATTTATTTGCTTGTTCTTGCAGTCGGTCTTTGTATCACACGTTAATACACCCCCAAGTGATTGAGTCTCAACCAATCAGAAGCCATCATCTCTCAAAGGTATTTATTAATAGTAGTTACAAATATGTCAACCTACATGTACGCATGGGCGTCGTCAGGATTTTTTCTAGAGGGGGGCAAACAAATTTTTGGCCAAAAAATGCTTGTATTTCTCAACACATTCTCGATTTATCAGTTTTAGAGGGGGGCAGGGACATTTTGCCCCCCCCCCCCAACTCATTAAATTTACACCACTTTGTCTTCGCGCCTCTTTTTCTTTTCTTTTTTTCTTTTCCTTTTTTTTTTTTTTTTGCTTTTCCGGGGGGGGGGGGGGGGGGGGGGCAAGTGCCCCCCCTTGTGACGCCCATGCATGTACGTGCCAATTCATAGAGAGTACAGGTTTGGGCCAAACAATTTGGCAACAGTACAGCAATGTGTCACATATGGGTGCCTGACTACTTAGGTTGCCAGTGCGGCACACTCAAACAATTGAAACCATAAAAAAAAGTAAAAATAACAGATTTCCTGCCAACTTTTTTTTAATTGCCCCAGTTTATACATAGACAGGTCCATTTAAATAGCAAGAAAGGACACACAGAAAGTTGCGCTTTTGATAAATGCCCTTATGACAGTAAAGAGATTCAATGTTGGAAGAAAACTATTTTGAATGATGTAATATGATAATCAGGTCACTCACCTGAGATTACTAAGTGGCAATGGTTGATCATTCATACTCTCAATAAGGGGGTTGTTCAGCTGATGTTCAGCTACTGATGGCCGACGTTGTCCACCACAGTATTTTTCACAGTCCAAGCGCGGGGCCTGGGCACCTCCACTAGATAGTTAACCAAGTACAAACAAATCCAATTATTATGTTATTAAAGGTACCTGACGTATAAAATGGAAATTATATGAGACTGAGGAGGAGACCCTCACCTAGTATTAGTGTCCCTAGTAAAACAGTCACCACCCTTTGAAAAAAAAGGTTCATTATTTCATTCATAATAATGCAAATTTGGCCTAGTCTACAGTGCAGTGCAAAACCACGGAGTCATGTCTCTTTGAAATAATAAAGACAATTTATTATTAAGAGAGACGCTCAAAGCGCTTCACAAAGATAATTTAAAAGCTAAGGCCAATCACAATTTAAATTATAACTAGATTTATGTTTGTGGACAAACACAGGGCTGTTTCGGTAACTTTTTGTGACATGTGACATGTAAAGTTTCAACTAGTTCCATCCAGGAAGGATGTGTAGTTCTGTTTATAATAAATGGTGTCATATAATATGTGATTTCATTCTCATAGGGCTTTGAATTATGATGTCACATTTCACGTAATGACGTCATGATGACGTCACATCAATTTTCATCTATAACTATATTTATTTGAAAATAACAACTTAGCCAGAGCATACATCGTTGAAAGCAAGTTCACACCTTTCACCAATTTTAAATTACAAGGCACTTCTGGTTTCAACCGGAAGGAAGGATCACATGATTTTGCACATAATAACAAAAACGAAGACCCTGGATTATTCTATCAATTCATCAATTTTACATTGATTTTCAAAGATTAAATCTATTAATCTTTAACGTGACGTCACGTGACCCATGATGACGTCATCATGGCATCACTTCATTTTTATCTATAACACATCTCGGTCTAGGTACATACCAACTTTCAACCCAATCAGACCTTTAGTTCTGGAGATACAGGCCTTCAAAATATGTACTTTGAATGTGACGTGACATGTCACGTGATGACGTCATCGTGACGTCACTTGGATTTTCATCTATAGCACTATTCGGTTTAGGTACATACCAACTTTCAACCCAATCGGACCTGCTGTTCTGGAGATATAGGCCATTAAAATATGCACCTATAATGTGACGTCACGTGACCCGTGATGACGTCATTTTGACGTCAATGTTTGGCACACAATTTTGGATGCTGGTCCAAGTGAATGCCGAGTATAAAGGCGATCGGATTGATTTTAGTGGCCAAAGTGACTTTGAACCCAATTGGACCTGTAGTTCTTGTAATACGGGCCTATAAAATATGTCGTGTGATGACGTCATCATGACGTCATTTTAATTTTCATCTATAACACATCCTGGTCTAGGTACATACCAACTTTCAACCCCATCGGACCTGTAGTTCAGGAGATATAGGCCTTCAAAATATGTTTATGTTATATGATGTCATATGTCATGTTTGAAGGTTTGAAGGTTTGAAGTTTTTTTTTATTGTTCCTACCATTCTCACAGTCCAAAGACTGAATTGCGATGGTTTACAATTTACAATTTAACAGAAATCATTTTAAAAGGACCATTTATACATATGTTAAACATAGTAATATTCTAAAAAGACTCTTTATACATACATGTACATAAAAAATGTTAAAATTCTACCCAGACTAGATAAAAAGAACCGTGTTTTGTCTAACTGTACACGCCTTTCAATCAAATGCAATGAAACTATTCATGGAACAATCAAAGAAAAAAATATTCATTCATTATTAACTAATGCCAACATTAAGCTTGGAAAACTGAATAATAATCTTAATCAAGAAAATAGGAAGGTGGACATGATGAGAAAATACTACTGAAGTGGGCACGTATAACATCAAAACTGTAACATTTCACATGTTATCAACAAACACATTAACTTCATATATAACAAAAATTGACACAGTGATAAAAACAATGCATTTTATGTTTTACATCCACATGGTGATGACGTCATCATGACGTCAAGTTAATTTTCATCTATAAGACATCCCGGTCTAGGTACATACCAACTTTCAACCCAATCGGACCTGTAGTTCTGGAGATATAGCCCAATCTGTTACCTGATTTCAATAGGGGGCGCTGTTCAAATTTGACGATTACTAACACTAGATAACAGAATGGTGTACCGTATTTTGAACAGGCGGACATTATATAATTTTTTGGGGGTGTCACGGGGGGGGGGGGGGGGGTTTCGACTTATTTTTTAGGAATTTGTATGATAATTTTTTGGGGGGACAGAGCTGGGGGGGGGGGGTGGTTGAACCCCAAAACCCCCCCTCTGGATCCGCGCCTGGTGGTATCCCGAATAAGGCCGTAGCGGGAAAGTTTGAAAGAATTTGTGGGTTTTTAAGTTTTGGCAATATTTGGCAATGTTTTTCTATTTTTTAAATGTATAATTTTTCAGGGCTCCCTTTATAAAGGGAGCCCTGAAAAATTATACATTTAAAAAATAGAAAAAACATTGCCAAACTAAAGCTTTAGTGGAGTTTCAGTTCGATTTGGTCAAGTACTGAGGGTGAGACGGTTGTATACTTCTGAACCCAACTGTGACCTCGCGGTCTACCCTCAGAGGGACCCCAATCGAGAAGCTACCGTACCGTGCATGAGCATTGGACAAGTCCGAGACAGCTCGTCCCTGACACACCTCGTCCCAGACACACCAACATCAGTCAAGATAGTACATGTATCTGTAAAGTTAATATTTGTTTTTGGATAACTCTAGATCCCAATCAGTTGATTGACTACTTAAGTTTGAGATTTAATTTCTGACAGTCGTTAGACTTGTTTGTGTATTGGTTATACAAAACCGTTGGATTCGCTGCAAAAATTTGGGCTAGAGATTCATGACACACTTGTACATTATTGTAAATAAATAAACTTCTTCTTTTTTTCTTGTAAATATCAAAACCATTTCCGACGAGTTCTTTTTTTTTTGTCAGTGACGTGTCCCGGAAACCAAAACTATTTTTTTAAGTCGAACCTGGTTTGTGATAGCAGAAAAACATACCCCTCCCCACTAACAAACATACTCAAAGTAAATACTAAAATGGGGGGGGGGGGGAGATGGATAAAACCTGGATTAGGCAGTAGCAGTAACCATTAAATTACAGAAGAGTCAGAAGCAGTATTAAACCAATGGAGCATAACCTAACCACCTCCCCGCACTTACACAATTGAAAATTAAAACAAATGTAGCCCTAAGAGTATCTGTCCCAGTTGAGGCTAACTCAAGATGGGTGGGAGGCTGAAGAGAATCTGAGGTACTGTGGGGAACCGGGTGAGTCTCTCCTCCTCGGCCTCATATAATTCCAATTATATGGCAGGTAAGAACCCTTACATAATTTGAAATTATATTTCATCTTTGTGGCCAAGACTCACTTTGTATACAGCACAACTAAGCTCAATAAGACAGGGCATACTCTTCCATATTCCAGAGAACATGTGACATCTCAATGAAAGTGTTCACCAATCTGCTGTCAGTAAGATTCGAGTGGTAGACAGTCACCAATTTAGCAGCAGCCAAAGTTGACAATACATTTATCCTGCTGATGCCATGACAGAGTGTGAAGAGTGTGAAGAACAAGACGAAGGAACTTGAAAACATGATCCAATCCACAGATCCTGATATTATCTGTTGGTTAAACTCTGCTGTGCTAGATGGGGAGATTTTTCCTGATACCTACAGCATAATATGAAATTATCGTGACAGTGGTAAGATTGGAGGTGGGGTTTTCATTGCCTACTGGAATGACTAAGTTTTGACTCATCACCCTGACCTGGATTCTAACAGTGAACTCACCTTGGCACAACTTCAGATTAAAGGAGCGAAGTCTGTCTTCATTGGATGCTTCTATAGACCCACTGATGACAAGAACAACAGTCTCGATCAGCTAGAAGTTTCCCTGTCCAAGCTATTGGAGGGGACAAAGTCTGCTAATATATGGATAGGGGGAGACTTTAACTTGCCTGACATAGATTGGCATCCAACTCTATCCCAAAGTATGCCAGCAAAGGTGTTCAGTGTCAGAACCTTCTGAACATTACAGCAGATTAAGTCCGAGCCAAATGATCAATGAACCTACCAATCGTCAGGATGATTGTGAAAGTTTGATATTTAACCAACAATCCCACAACAGTGAGCAATATCTACCACATGCCCAGACTAGGAGTGTGTAAGCATAATGCAATCCTGATGAAGGTGGATATCCAACCGCCCTGAGCACCTTGGTGGATATGTGCGCTTTATAAAACTTCGTTATTATTATTATTATATCCAACCGCAGAGAACCAAAAGCCTACCTCGCAAAATTCTGATGTAAAAAAAAATGGACACAGATGGATTTGTGAAGGATGCAGAGGACATCTGCTCATATTTTCTGATTTTTCAGAAAGATTTTTCAGATTTTTCTCCGAACCAACTAACAGGACTGTAGAAGAAAATTGGACTGTGTTTAAGAACAAAACACATCAGCTCATTGAGGAATACATCCCATCAAAGCTAGTCAAACAAAACAGGAATCTGCCCTGGATGACTCGTGAACTGAAACAGAAAATCCGTGAAAAGAATAGATGGCATAAGAAAACAAAGTAAAGAAAAAGTAGCAAAGTGTGGAGCAAGTATAAGCAGCTTCAGAAAGAGGTGAAAAAAGAAATGCAGAAAACGTACTGGAACTACATCAATACCATACTCTCACCAAAGATGGAGGATCTTTTGGTGATTTATTAAAGGGCTGCGGAGAGACAACAGTGGAATTGTGGCTCTACGCCATCGAGGCCAGCTGGTTTCAGACGAGAAGAGGAAGAGCGGAATTCTCAATAACTATTTCAGCTCGGTCTTCACCAAGGAAGATCTTACACAGATCCCAGACAAAGGACCCCCAGCATACCCACCCATGGAATGGAGAAACTTCTTGCCGAGTTGGATCCATCAAAAGCAGCAGGACCAGATGGCCTACCTAGCAGGGTTCTTCAATTGCTCGCTCCACAGATAGCACCTGTGTTAACCATCATCTTTAACCAATCCCTCCAAACTGGATGCCTCCCATCTGACTGGAAAACTGCCAATGTGACCCCGATCTTCAAGAAAGGCGACTGAACTGAACCTGAAAACTAATCGACCTGTGTCCCTTACAAGTATCTGTTGCAAGGTGTTAGAGCACGTTGTGCACAGCCAGGTTATGAGCCATCTTAACCATTACAAATGTATTCTCTCAGACAACCAGCATGTATTCAGAAAGAACCGGTCATGTGACTCACAACTTGTCATCACACTTCACGATCTCACCAAAGCACTTCACCAGAAAAAGTGCATTGATATTATCATCTTAGATTTTACAAAAGCTTTCGACACTGTTCCACACCACCGTTTAATCAGCAAACTGAAATATTATGGTATCAACGATCAACTTGTCAGCTGGATTGCTTCATTCCTGATGGGTTGATCCCAACGTGTCATTCTTGAAGGCCAATCATCACCAACAACTGCCGCTGACTCCTGGAGTCCCACAGGGGACAGTCCTTGGACCCCTGTTATTCCTTCTGTACATCAACGATCTACCAGAACAACTGTCATCGACAGCACGACTATTTGCCGACGACGATTGCTTGCTGTACAGAAGTATTTCATCAGAATTGGACTCCAGAGCCCTTCAAGATGATCTGGACAAGCTGACAGAGTGGCTGGCAAATGCAGTTCAACCCTACCAAATGTTATGTAATGCACATGTCTCTTGCTCGTAACCCTTGTCGTCACATTGTGTAACCAGTAATTAGCAAATTAGGTTTTGCCCTTCACCGACGTTTTTTAACACTGTATACTCAGTGTGTTACTCAGTATAATAGTTCGTGCGGTACCCGCTGCTATGTACATCAGATTCGAACCGACCAACCGATCCCGTTAGCTTGGTGGTCGAGTGGTAAGACATCTGCACTAGAAAGCAGGAGGTCGTGGGTTCGAGTCCCACCCGTGTGATTTTTTCCAACTTTCACTCGGGAGGTAACACACTGAGTATACAGTGTTAAAAAACATCGGTGAAGGGCAAAACCTAATTTGATTTATATCACCCCGACGCAAAATTCCATCTTATAACAGTAATTAGCAGCAGTCAAATCACACCCGTGCCTAGGAGTTCACCTTCAAGACGATCTTGGCTGGAGCACCAAGGTAGGACATGCTACTTCGAAAGCAAGCTGGATGCTGGGTGTTGTGCGACGCAACCTTAATGCTTGTCCAGAGAAGCTGAAGGAGACGGCACACATCAGCCTCATCCGACCTCATGTCAATTACGCATCCGTAGCATGGGATCCCCACCAGAAAGGACACATCAAAGACATTGAGAAAATCCACAGGGGGGCTGCCAGATTCATTAAACGCAACATCCCCACTGCAGGCACATTAACTCAAATACTTAAAGAATTAGGCTGGGACACACTGGAGGAGAGAAGACAACATCTTAATGAACAAGATCAGCAACAACTTGGTTGACATCCCCAGTGATGGCTACCTAAAGACCGCAACCCGACGCTCACGCCATACCAACACCAAAGGTTACATCACCCTTAGTGCACGCCTGCACATCCACAACTTCTCATTTTTTCCACGAACTGTGGTAGAGTGGAATGCCCTGGAGGATTCATTAGTCAACACAACGTTACTGATCAGTTTTAAGCAGCAACTCCAATAAATCCCCCCCACACCTCCAGCCCGCACAAGCCTGGCTATTATACTCGTCATAGAGTCTAGCCAGTATAAGAGCAGAAGTAACAATGTTTAGCCATCTTGCATGAAACCAACAGTAGATAGGTTTAAAAAAGAGGCAAACAGGTAGACCGATGGTTGAATTTCTGGAAGTAGATGCCACTCTATTTGGACATTGAAATTCCAAGACATTTCGTCTGATGCTGGGAAAATCCAAGTCCAAATTATTACTGTCCTTGACTGCCCTTGAAAGGACCTGCTACCCCGAAACATCCTATGTACATTAGAGAAGTAGGAAGAAAATCTTCTTCTGTTGAATGGGACCCACAATAGAGGCTGCGGTCATGGTCAGGTTAACTGCCTGTTTATTTGCTTTATCAGCATCCTCTATGTCCTTTACTAAATTTGTACAAAAGTTGAAACATTGCTTGAGGCTGTCAAAAAAAAACTCTTCAAAAGCATGCTGTCTTGACAAGGCAAACTTTGGCTTGCTCATCCTAAAAGTATCAATGCTAAGATGATATGATCCTTTTTATGCCAAAGTTGGGTTTGAAGGGAAAAAGCATGTCACTGCAGAAAGCAATTGAATTGAGAATTCTGTTACCCATAACTTTATTTCACAATTTAAAACACTGAACTACACTGAATTAGCTAAGAGTGTGAACAAACTGAGCTGCGTTGAAGTGAACTGTTGAAATGATGTAACTATAATGACTAACTACTGTTGAAAAATGAACTGGGGAAGTGCTCACGAAGCAGTGCGTAAGGTGGCCTTCCCGTGCTCTTCAAGAAGCTCTTTTTTCAATTAATAAATGTTCAACTTGTATGCTTTTTCAACTTGTATGCTTTTTTTGACGTCTGCAACCCTCTGAAAAAAACCCATTGTGGTTTTCGGCTTTGCAAGTAGACTGGCTTCTAGTCCGTACATTATAGAGACTGATTGAAGGGCAGGAACCTTACCAGCCTACCTTCCGAGAACGGCATTGTTGTCTGGCAGCCAATAATTCGAAATTGTAAAGCAATAATTCTAAACACTGGCAGATTTTTTGGTCGATGTCTCATAAAAATAGTGATTTAGAAAAGAAATTTGTTTTTACGGATGAAACTCGAAAATAGCACAGGGAACACAACTTTAAAAAACTGTAAAGATGTGATAAGAAATAATTAAGGAAGGAAAGCTTCAGCTACGGTCTTGGTTTCCTTGATGCTAAGAATAAATTACTATGAACAATTTTTAACATGAACCAGTGACTTTTGGTGTACTTCGAAACTGTTAATGTCAATAAGATTTGGAACGTATGGGTCACCGTAGCAATTATAGGTCACACATGCAAAACAAATACATGCTGTACAGACCCATGTGTGGGTCTGTGGGAAAAGGAATAGCTCTGTCTGTGGGAAAAGCAATAGCAAGTGTCCATCTCTAGATTTTCCCGGCTATTTTAAAATGTTTATCATTCAAATTCACTGATTCTAACATTCAAGTTCGTCCAGTAACATCGATTTAGTACACTTCCAATCAGTGTTGTGGTACTCTTACTCGTACTCAAGTACTTTTTTCCGTACTCGTACTCGTGGCAAAGTACTTGTACTCGTACTCATGGAAAAGTACTCGTACTCATATTCTTAAAAAATACAGTGTAATAAAAATTGGGGAAAAGTGGACTTCAATGAAGGCATGTTCAGCACACAGTTGATCTCATCTGTGTACAGATACATACATTGCAGCTAATACTAATAGCTCCATGCTTAATACAATTCACAGCCTACAGTGATTGACTTTCACAAGATAAAAACATTTAGCCTAAAGGTTGGTTGGAAAAAAAATTAAGGTCTCATTGAAATCATAAACTATTAAAGAGCAGGTTTAAGCACCAACCATTATAAAATCATATAATTTAAATCTTATCTCACTCTTGCATGGGTGCTGCCAAGATTTTCTTCTAGAGGGGGGCAAAGCACATTATTTACAAAAATCCTTGTACTTTCTCTAGCATATTCTCAATTTATACTTTTTCGACTGTGGGGTGGGGGGGGGGGGGGTACTTGTCCACCCCGCCCCATTGACACGCCTGCAGATGTCCATGATGTTAAATGGGACTTTGCACCTCATCTTTTTTTTTCTTCTTTTTTTTTCTCCTTTTTTGTGTGTTGCTTTTCCAGGGGAAGGGGCAAACATCCCCTTGCCCTATCCTGGCAACGCCCATGCACTCTTGTCCTGAAACGTTTGCTATCGAATGCATGACTCCAGTCATACTTGTCTTAAAGTAAAACTATCAAACTGTTCCATGGCTCCCAGGCTCCCACTTTTTACACTTTTACTTCATGGTTTAATTCAATTTAAATTTGAAAACTGGGTAAATTTGTTTGGGTTTGATCAAGGGTTCACCTTTGTTACATTCATGAACTTTCTCATTTTTCTTTAATGTGTGAAAGGTAATAAGGAATATGTGTACTCATGGAAATGTCATCGTGCTTGTCAAAAAGGACTTGTACTCGTACTCAGGTACTCATACTCATAAAAAGCACTTTACTACAACACTGCTTCGAATGTACAATTTCAAATTCTGGTTTAAACATTCAAACCATGAGCACACATATTTGTCCCGGGGTATTCAATTTTCTCTTCTCTATGCCAAATTCAAAAAATTAATTTCGTCTCATGCCACAAAATTTAATCATAATTTTGTTCAATTTCATCACACTTCATATCTTCAGTAGAAGGCATTCTTCACTATTTTTCTCTCCTTGTTTCTTCACAAATTTATCGTAATAATCTTCTCAAAAATATGTTAACTCAATTTTAGGCTCATTACACAGGGAAAGGGACAGGGATTTAAAGGGACATCCATTTGTAGGTTTTTACATTTCCTGCTTTCATTTTAACACTTATTCTTTTCGTTTACTAATTTATTAAAATTTACTTTGTTTTATTGTTCTTTGTACTTTTTCCATCTTTCTGACATTTATTCTGAAGTTTGAAAAAAAAATTGGCGGAACTTACCCATTCTCTACCTTTGGACAATCCCCTTGATTTTCTCTGACCAACTTTGCAATGTGCCGTGCGAAGCCCTGGTAGAAATTAAAATTGATGAAATATAAATGTGACACCCAAGAAAATGCGAACAACTTCTTGATGCATATTTAGAACTTTAATGTTTAATTATTTTGTATTGTTATGTGTTATCTGCATGCACACTCATACGCTGTTGTAGGTCCTTTGTCCTGTCTGTCCCATTGTCTGTCCCTAGGTTAGGGTACAAAAGCATTTTTGCTTCACCAAAACCTAAATGTTGTCCTTTGTGTTATAATTTGATAATAAACTTAATCTAAACTGAAACTAGAACAGCGAAGCCGCCATGGCTCGCTGTCCAAGGCAGGAAGGGAGGCTGAAGGTAGGGTTGGGGATGGGCATGATGGAAGGGGATCAGGATTCTTGTTGATGTGCCTAGGTGTAGGGGTCAGTTTTAAAATGTCAACATAAAAAGTTAACAGATTACCTAATAAATACATGTGTATAGGTTAGCCGTCACTGTATTATGGGGGAGTTTTCCATTGTTAGGGTAATTAGGACTCAGTTGTGGATTTTTGCAGCCCCAACAGTGTCTTCTGCTCCCCATACTTGTATTACCATGGGAAAACTCTTGTGTAGCCGCCACAAATGCAGAACAAGAATGGGTATACATGTACATGAAGACACAGCACCATCACCACCTCCCCGAAACCTTACCCCATCCCAAAACCTTACCCCATCCCCAACCCGCCCCCTCCCCCACCCAACCCCCTACCCACACCCATTCCATCCTCCCCTAACCATCCCCACCCTATCACCTACACATCCCAACCCCACCCAAACTCCAATCCCTATCTCCTTCCCCCTCCCCTGACCCGTACCCTCCCCTACCCCAACCCCCTACACCCACCTACCCTATCTTCCCTTATCTGTCCTTACCCACCCTACACATCCCCACCCCAACCCTTACTCGAATTCCAATATCCCGCCCACCCCATTCCCCCACCATACATCCCCAACTGACCCCATGCAACCCCTACTCTGATCCCTATATACTGCCCCCTCCCCTTATCCAACCCCTACAACAACCCATCCCTACACATCCCCAACCCAACCCCTACTCCGATCCTATATCCCGCCCCCTGCCCAACCCCCTCCTAACCCAACCCCTACATCCATGCCCATCCTCTCCCTACCTGTCTCCCCCTACCTGTCTCTCCCTACGTGTTCCCACCCCACCCCTACAAATCCCCACCCCACCCAAACCCAGTATTCCAACCCCTCTCCCCACCCCACCCCACCCCAACCCACCCCGCCCCACCCATCCTAGCTCCCCTACTCATCCTACTCACACAAACCCTAACTCCACCCCACCCCACCCTCCCCTATACCCCATCCCTACTCCAACCCCATAAACTAACAGATCAAACCAGAAGCTCATGCACATCCCCAAAATGCAACGTGTACATGTACATGTTATACCGGTATACACACACGTACAGTACATGTTATACCAGTATACATGTACATGTAACAATTAAAAACTTTAACATTTCCTTGAATTAAAGTTCCTCAATAAAATCATAAAATTTACTGCAATGATATGAACCTAACTGAAGTTATAAAGATGATACATGACAACTGCATTTAATTTTTTTCCCCAAGTTAACTAGAAAAAAAAACTTCAACATTTTTATCTGAACGCGGACGGCCGGACGGCCGGACGGGCGCCCGGACGTACCTCCCAGATGGACTTCTGGGGTACCTCCATTGTTGTCCCATTGTCCCTATTTCTAAAGATTTCACTTGCGGGGTACCCTATTTCTAAAGATTTCACTTGCGGGGTACCTAGAACAAAGGACAGGTACCCCACAAGTGGTCCTGGTCAGAACGGACAGACGGACGGAAATTGGTATTACATAGGCTCGCATCTGCTTCGCAGCTCGCCAAAAACAGTGTCTCGTTCTTTAATGGTGTCACTGCATGTTATTACCAAACAAAGTCCCCAGCCTAGACGTTAATTACTAAAGATACATGTATAGTCGTCACTTCATCAAAAGGAAAATTGTGTAAAATTTATAGATTTGATACCGCAGATTTGTCACTTTGTCAGAATGCAAACTGTAGAGGCTAGATAAATTAAGTAAAGCACACGTGTAAAATCAATAAGACTAAGTGATGAATAGAGAATCCTCACTGATTCGTCACTTTGTCAAACTCAAAAATCAGTGTGTCGCACATTAGTACTTTGTGGAGTTAGTGTATTAAACAAATTATCCATTCCAAAAATCCAAAATTGCAAGAAAATTGTGTTGAGTTGACACTGAATGACCCAAATTGAAGCCATTCTACAAACCTCTCCATTTTCTGGGGGTTCCCCGTTGCCAAAGGTGCTAGTGATGATGAGAATTAGTGTCTCAGTCTCCAGTTCAACCACGTCGTAATCCTCCATGCAAAGCACCTGGATTATTCCCAATAGAAAGTAAACCCCAACTGAAATCTTATTCTCTTGTATTTAAATAAAGACAACTTTCATGCTGAAAAGGCAAGCAGACAACATCTCACTTTAACATTTCAATTCTAAAATCCAGAATTTCCATTCTAAAATCAGAATGCACAATGGTTTTGAAAGTACGGGTCTTTACATGGTTTGCAATTTAAAGGTAAAATACAGCATTGGCTTTTGCTGTAATTTTCAGAAATAGATGGATTTGGGGGTTAGTATTTTATAGCAAGTATTGTCAAACTGACCAGTTTTGTGTTCATGGATGCTGGAAAAACTAAGAAAAAAATGTTGTTCTTGTAGTCTGGTTCCCTGACCCCACTTCATTCAAAACAGAGCAATATATGGACGTCAGGGAATTGTCATATCAGTGAACCAGACTAGATGGCTTGCACCCATTCACGCATGTGCAATGCATGCTTCATGAACTTGGGACTGCCAAATATATCACTAAAGGGAAGATACAACATTGGCAAATATCAAAAGCGAAATGATCAAATTATCATGAAATACCTCACTGGATTGTTAGGGAATGACAGTCTAAAGCATCCTGTAAAATTGTGGCTGCTGGTGTGCTGACATTTTCAAGAAAAAGTATATTTTTCCAATGCTGGTCGGCCGACCAGCGTTGGAGAAAACTGGATTTTTCAAAAAGTGCTCCTGAATTTTCATATTTAGTTACTCCGCATTTCTTTGCAATTGGTTACACACCTGTGAAGGAGTACAAGCCTGCTAGACTGATTCACTGACCTTACAATTCCCGAAAGTCTATAAATTACTCCATTTCCTCTTAAGTGGGGTCAGGGAACCAGACTACAAGAGCATGATTGGTTTTGTTGGTTTTTCCAGCATCTACAAGCCCAAAACATGAAACAAATTAGTTTAACAATATTTACTATAACATACAATCATCCAAATCCTTTTATTTCTGAAAATTGCAGCAAAGGCAAATGTTGTACATTCCCTTTAAATCAACGACATGAATTTTTTTTTCATAAAAAAATGGAAATAGCTGTTTAGTGGATAATCTGGAAAGTACATGTACTATGTAAAATCAGAAAGCCGAAAAGCAGAAATGTCAGAAAAAAATCAAAATTCAGAAAAAATAAGGGATCTGCAAACATGCACAAATGCATACATGTATAAAGGTGTCCAATGCCCATCAAACAGACAACTCCCCCCCTCCCATATACAGTGCCTTATACGGTGCAACCCATGCAGGATCTGTACATCTGCAGCCTTTCATGACAGCAATTTGAGAAGGATCAATTATGTGAACTGGATCCTGCTCAAATTTGAACAATGTATGCACAAACCCAAACTATCTTTGCTGGAGACAATTTCGCCTGTGAATGGTAGCATGGCAGCAATATTGTTCAAGTGTGCTTTAACACAGGGACTCTGTGTTGGTTTCAACATTTGAATCCAATACTGGATCGAATTAAGTTTGTCATTACCCTGGAGTCAAAGGTGCAGCTGAACATGCGGTTAATCCGTTCAGCATACTGCTTCGAGCGTCCTGTCTCCGTAGCATAAAGGATGGTGGCTTTGAAGCGTTGCTTAAGGGCTTCCTTCATCTTGTGAGCAAAATACTTGACTGCCCTGCAATGGTGAAAAATGTTGTGGACACATTTACAAATTTTAGCATTTAGTGCGTAATCAATTGCAAAGAAAATGTGGAAAAACTAATTATGAAAACATAAGAGCACTTTTTGAAAAAAGCCAGTTTTCTCCAACGCTGGTCGGCTGACCAGAGTTGGAAATATACAATTTTTCTCTAAAATGTCAGCACACCAGGAGCCACGATTTTACAGGGTACTTTAGAATATCATTCCCTTACAATCCAGTAAGATATTTCGTGATAATTTGATCATTTTGTTTTCTGATGTTTGCAAATGTTGCATCTTCCCTTTAAAGTGAACATTGTCATTGCCTTCTCTCTAACGGTTTGTCTAAGACTTGCTGGCTGCAGTGGCCACTTCTAAGAATCCTTTTCATTGCCAGAAAAGAAATAATAACTTAATAATAATAATTACAAAACAGTTGCAAGGATTTCTTTTCTAACATACACAGCAGCTCCTTTGAAGGTTACTCCTTTGCGCATTGCACTCTTGGCAGCGCCATTCCGTTTGGCCAACCATGGATTTGCCTGCGACCAATCAAAGAAAACAGCCTGAGTAAAGAGGGGTTCACACTTCACACGAATGCAATGTAATTTTGACGTCACAAAGCAATCCCTGCGAAATTCGCCCCGGGTTTAAATGTGTTCAAATTTTCTTCAAATTCACATTCGTATTTGCTTTTGCACCGTTATGAACTTGCCTATATCTTGCCTGAGGCCTGATTACTCACTGTTTCCTATTTTTGTTTTGCTTTTGTAAGCAGTCTCTGTTTGCTAATTGAGCTTGCTCATAGTCATAATCAAAAAGTTAAATAAGTTACATGTACTAGGTGAAAGTAAAGCATACAGAAAGCACTGTGGAACATCTACATCTCAAAAGAGGGCACATTACAGTAAATGTAAAGTTAAGTTTGGGTCTAGCATCAGGCTTATCAGAGATCATGTCTATCTGACAGGGGCCAGAGAGAATAATAAATGTTATGTGTCCGGCTGAGGCAAGAGACAAAATAATGATAGCTCTGTGTCTGGCTGATACAACCTCTGTTTCTGGCTGTGAGCTGCACCAATAATGATTCCAACTCCTGTATAGCTGCATGCTTTATACATTGGCTTTTGGAGGACCATCTTAGCCAATGAGGGCATTAGGTACTTGTGAATATGAATTATTCATATGATAAGGTCTGTGGAGGCAAATCTCTATGGAGGATTTGTACACACTTTCGTCTCACGGACTTAGAATTTCTAGGGGGTAAAGTCCAAGAATGTGGGGAGCAGGATGATGTTCCCCCGGTACAATCACTCATGAGTGTGTTACAGGGAATGTTCCTGAGGGAAAGGGAAAGGGGTAACTTTCTCGGTACGTAGGGTTGTGTATATAACTTGGTCTCTGGATAAATCTACGCACAATTCTATGGAGTAAAATGCAATCTGACCTCTGTGTACCATCAAAGGACACAAGTTCTAGGTGATTGGCGGGCCAGTTTCTTGAGAGGCTAACATTTCATATATTTTGAAATGTTTTAGAACGTCTGAAGTGGTTTAGCAGCTTTGGTTTAACATTTGAAACGTCTAAAAACAAACATGAAATACGACCTAATTAAACTCTGTATTGTTCACGTTTCAGACATTTTGTCTAGTATTTCGGTGTGAGCATATATTTAAAGGTAGAGTAGATCATTTGCAGCTATCTAAAAAGTGATTGGTGAAATTATTGTTGAAAAGCTAACTAGGTTTAAAGATAGTAATGGCACTAATTGGGCTATTCCAGGATGCAGTGTCACTTTAATTATTCTTTCCGGCATGCTGTCATTTGGAGATAAACTATAAAAGAAGGACATTTCTAAAGATGCATCAAGTGACGCATTTTGGTAATTTCCGTTAGTTGGTTTATAATTTGGCGAATCTGTTAAAGGATGCGCGCAAGTGTTGACACACGCACGCGTGCATGGTTGCTAATATTCATCAGTTCAGAGGGTGACATGAGAACGCGTCCCGGACACTAATTTCTGGGGCAATTCAAAACATGACTCAGTAACTGAGATCCCAGAATATTGTTTTCTCGGAATATACAGCATTCACCGAGCTAAAACTTCACCAGGTTAGTTGTTAAGCACCAGTCATTAGATTTGGAGCACTTTTGTTACTTCAAACAGAAAAAAGATGCACAAATGATCTACCCTACCTCTAAGCAAAGTTGGTCAAACTGTTCTTCACACTCAAACTTGCTCAGTGGATGAGATTAACGGTTATTTTTCAATTACAATGAGAACAACACACGTTACTACATTAAATGCACAATTATTCTAATGAAATTTTCCAAAGCATTAAAGATTTAGACATTGCCTCGCTTAACCAGTGAGCTTGAACACTGGAATCAATTTACCAATAGCAGCAATCAATTGATTAGCTTTTAATACCTGGTAATCAAAGGAAGGTTTGACAGAGTAGTAGAGCATCTCCTGGTGGAACACTGGACAAAGACTGCTGGACATTGGCGGGACAACCCAGACCCAGTCAGCTGGACATCCGCCCCGTAGCTTCTGTTCCTTCTCCATGTGGACCATGAAGGACTCGGATGCTGAGTGGTGGTCAGTAATGGTTACTCTAGCTTTCTGAAAGCCAAATTACACAGAAATGGTGAGTGAAATGTGGTCAGACATGTGAATCCCGGGACATACCGTTATTTCGTTTTACCGTTTTGGATTTCCTCAAAAACAATAAACGCACCGTTGACCGTTTTATCGTTTTACAGTTTTGTGAAATGGTCAAACGGTATTAGGTCACAAAAAACAATGACCTTTTTGTTGTTTTTCTTAATGGTTGAAAGCGATTAACGGTTAGTTGCTTCATTTCAGAGTGTTGTTTTAAAAGAACATGACAATGAAAAACGGTCAATAGTCCTGTCGACCAGTTTTTGATTTAGGTTCGGCAATTAAGCAATGCACCTAGGAATGTTAATTAATGCGTCCTCATGGGATCGAGTCATTGCCTGGGACCCAAATTACCCTCCTCACATTTCGTTCTCACGACATAGTTTTCGAACTGGCTATTGAAGAGCCGCGCCGAACTCCAATTTCCTTCAAATATCTGCAACTTCTTCAAACGTATGACCATCCTGTATCCATTGTAAAAAGTAATGTCCTCCCTTGAAGTTTTCCCGCGCCATTTTTGCTTGCAACTCTTAAGCCCCACCAACTGAATCGCGTGAGAAGGGGGTCAGGGTCACGCCAGGAATCATCACACCACGCATTATGCCGAGGTAACACTTTTTCATGTAAAGCATGGTCCCCCTCCATCCCCCTTGCCCAGCACCACAAAATGCACCACGGACTGTTCACTATGACACTGAAATAAAAAAAACAGTCTGTATTCAATACTGACCGTTTTGCTGTTTTTCAAAGTTATTTGTGTCAAAATGTAAAACAAAAATCATTGATCGTTATGCTGTAATGAATTTTATAAAACTTATAAAACAGAGAAACTGTATTTATCTTAATACCGTTTGACCGTTTTACAAAACTGTAAAACGACAGAACGGTCAATGGTTTGTTTACTGTTTTTGTTTTGAGGAAATGCAAAACGGTAAAACGAAATAACGGTATGTCCCGGGATTCATGTGGCATTTTCCAACCAATTACCACAACTGTGACCTAACCCAACAATAAAGTCAGACGTCGCTAATGCTTTTTCAAAGGTATAAAAATTTAATTAGTTGCAAGGCCTGAGAATTCATTGTGCTAATTGAAAAAGAGGGTCATCACGCCTACTCCTTTCTGTTAAAACAGAAAGAGAATTGATAGTGGCAGACTAACCTGAAAACTGTGTAATACAGCAACATTGACCTCTAACAGGGTTCTGTCCTTCCACAGTGTCAAATTACTGGTTGTTTGCAGGCTCATCTTGTTGGCTATTGTCTTTTAACAAAAAAAACAAATTAGCAAAAAAAGAAAGGAAAATAAGGCTTCAGATTGCATTCTCTTGGCACTTCATTTGAGACCTTACCGGTACCTTAAAAGTACAGTCCATCATTTGTAATTTGTGCATTTTGTTCGTTTGAATGTATATTTTGAGAAAAACAACATTCTAGGATCTCGATTTCAAATCAAAAGTTGCTAAATCATGTTTTGAATTGGGCCTGAATTCAGCGTCCGAGACACGTTCTCACTGAGCCGTTTGCAGCTACACGATGTCGCGCACTGATCCGACGAGTTAAAGCAACTGCACACGCGTGTGCGTCATGTCAACACTTGCGCACTTCGCCAAATAAAAAAATACGAACTTCTAACGGAAATTTCCAACAGTGCATCTTTAGACGCAACGTTGGAAAGGCCACCTTTCATTGATTTGTTCATAATGACAGTATGCCAAAAAGAATAATTTCAGAGGGAGATAAGTCCCTTACTATCTTTCAACAAAGCATGTTTTTCAACAATAATTATGTCAGTTACTTTTTGGATAGCTGCAAATAATAGACTGTAGCTTTAAATGTATAAAAACAAATTTTGAACCATCTGAATCCGTGTGAACCCTGCAATACTACATTTACTATTAAAGGGACACTGCGTCCTGGAATGAGCCCAATTGGGCTACAAAACACGCTTTGAACGAAGTGCTGTTAATCAGAAAGAACATTTAAAAGTAGGATATTATACAAATATTGACTGCTTTGACTGGTGTAGTAAAACCAGCCTCCTGAGGTGATCCATGAAGCATTCTATATGTCCCGAGGCGAAGCTGAGGGAAAATAGAATGCTCCATGGATCACCGAGGGAGGATAGTTTTACTATACCACGAGATAAAGCAGTCAATATTTGTTTTATAACACCTCTCCCACAGATTCTGCTTGATTTTAAGCAATAACTGATTAATTTGATCTGAATACAATAAAAATGTACTCCCATTTGAATATGAAATGAGTTGAAAATTAACTTGCACTTTTTCTAACTACCCCTTCATGAAATGTTTGAACCCAGCTCTGTAGCGCTCGTGCTTGGAAGCAATACGCTTAACACGCAACACACACACCCTATTGCATTTTGCACACATTGCGTATAGTATTTTGGTTGCTACGGTATGGGTTAAGTACTTTTGGCCGTGCACTGAAAGATAGCAAAAATAGAAAGTACCAAGTGACTCGCTCTCGGCCAATTAAGATACAGAATCTGTGGGTAAGGTGTTATAAAAACATCCATACAACTATCCTTTAAAAACTGGGCGATTTTGTTTTATTCTTGTGTTATGCGTGCGAGAGTGACTTGAGTCCAATTTTGAAACCCCAAAAAGTCAGGCTGTTAATGCTATTTGTGATTCCAGCCATAAAGTGTTTGCCTTTTGCGGATGTGTAAAAAACACATTTGTGCATTGGTGCCATGTATAATTTTATACCGGTATCAAACATTGACTGAAATGACAGAAAAAACGTATCCGTACTCCGTCGTGTCCGATGTAAACAACCGGGTTTTTTTTCTTTTTTTTTCTGAGGAACAGTAAGACATTAGGTTGGTTTTCTTTGCAACCAGATGTTTGAAATAGGATAAGTAAACAATCCAAAACATGAAAATTGTGTAGATTTAAGGACACAGTGCCCTTTTTTACCTCCACTGGAATAAAGAGGATTTCATATTTAAACAGTCTGTCTTGGACTTTATGCACAAAAGGTAGATCTGTGGTTGTGTGTTACAAGCTTTGAAAGTTCCAATGTAGGGGCACACTGCATGCGCATACTTGTTCACGTGCGTATAGCACAAAGTACACACATCTTATTTTTTTTTCGTACTGTGTACTTACCCATAGCATCTTTGCCAGGGTTGTTTGATTTTAGTTGCACTGATTTTACATCACTACTTTAAAATAAAACGTGATTAAAATTATTTGGGTTGTTTAATCACTGATTTAAATTACTGTTTTTGTAAAAGTGACCTTTGTCTATATTTCTTAAGCAACTGATTCATCCAAATTAATGGGATTAAAAGAATTTAATAAAAGAACACAACACCCCTACTGCACAATATAACATGTAAACAGCTTCTTTTCATCAGTTTGGATTTAAAATTCTATTCTTCTTTAATGAATTTGTTCAATGAAAATAATTTCTATGGAAGTTTTGAACATGTGATAAGACTCTTTCGAGCAAATACTTCATATCAGTGTCCAACGTAAAAAATAACCCCAATTTTCTTAATACTCTGTGACATAGAAGACCTTAGGGAGTAAGGAACTAAATTAGACTTTTTTTTTAATCCATATCAGGTCGCTTGCCATAGCAATAGCTTATTATGTGTTTCAGCCATTTTGAGCCCATATTGTTTTCAAAGGCTTTCCAGCCAAAATGTGAATCAACATCACAAAAATATTAATAACACCTCATCCAGGGATTCTACATCTGGATTGGCCAAGAGTGAGTCACATAGCATTCGAGATTTTACTATCTTGCTGTGCCAGGCCAAAAAAATTTGCAATGGCTGAACAATTATTATATATGCATAGCAACCAACGTGGCATGTTTCCAAATGCATACAGGTAGCAGGTTGCATGTATTGTTCCCATACAGATCTGGGTTCAAACATTTCATGAAGGGGTACTTTGGAAAAGTGCATTGACAAAGAAGTACATTTTAATTGGATTTTGTTAAATTAATCAGTTCTAATAATAATAATAATAATAATAATAATAATACAGAGCATTTATATAGCGCTCTAACTGTCATAGAAAGTACCACAGCGCATTACACGAAAATGGACCCAAAAAACAAGAACCAAAAACAAAACAAGAAAAAACCACATGCAAAATACATGAGTAAGCAATAAATATAAATTAAACAGATCAATTAAACAGATGGGTTTTCAGGGATTTTTGAATGTTGCTAGTGAGCTAGAGTGGCGGATGCTGTAGGGTAAATTGTTCCAGAGTTTTGGGGCAGCAGCGTGGAAGCTTTTCTCTCCAGTGGAAGTGCGAGTTTTTTGGTGCATGGAGTAATCTGGTGTCAGTAGATGATCGGAGGCTTCTTCTGAATGAGTTCGGTTAAGTATGAAGGTGCAGAGTCAGTGTTAAGACATTGGAAAACGAGGGTCAGAAGTTTGAACTTGATTTGGTTGGTGACTGTCAGCCAGCGAAGATCGTGGAGGATGGGAGTGACGTTGTCATATTTTCCAGCCTGATAAATCAGTTTAGCAGCACGATTTTGGAGCCGTTGAAGGCGTTTGCAGTCAGCAGATGTTATACCGAACAGGAGTGAGTTTGCATAGTCCAGTCGAGATGTTACGAGGGCTCTAATGGCAGCATGACAAGATGATTTGTCATTGTATATTCTGATCCGTGGATAGGCTGCGCAGATTCATGTTTACAGATTGACAAATGGCACTGACTTGGTTGGACATCTACATGGTTGGGTCAAATACCACTCCAAGATTTCTGATCTTTGAGGAAGCCTGGATGGTATCAGCGCCTACTCGGAGGGAAAGATCAGATAACGAATGGAGAATTCTGGTGTTGGCACAGACAAAGAATTCAGTTTTGGATTCGTTTAGTTGAAGCATGTTACTTATCATCCAGTGCTTTATGTCCATGATGCATTGAGATAATGTAGACAGAGCTTGGTTGATTTCACTCGGATTGTTGGGATTGAATTGGATGTACAGTTGCGTGTCGTCAGCATAGAAGTGGTAACGGACACGCTGAAAACGTTGGATAACGGTAGCCAGAGGATGAGTAAATAGGGAAAACAGCTTAGGTCCTACAACAGAGCCTTGTGGTAGTCCAAACTCCAGTAGTTGTGGGTCAGATAGCTCACTAGCCACCTTAACTCTATTAGTGCGACCAACAAGGTAAGAATGGAACCACTGTTGAACATGACCTGTAATCCCAAATACATTGGATAATCTATCTAAGAGAATAGCATAATCGATAGTATCGAAAGCCGCCGACAGATCCAGCAACACCACAAAGACGGCCTGTCGATCATCAAGGGCACGCAGTATGTCACTCTTGATTCTCAACAATGCCATCTCCGTGCTGTGGCCAGACCTGTATGCGGACTGAAACTTCTGATCCATAAAATTTGTACACAGATGAGTATTGATACAACTAAGAGCAACTTTTTCAATTAGTTTAGATAGAAAAGCCACATTAGAAATGGGTCTATAGTTCTTGAGGTTATTCACATCCAGCCTAGGCTTCTTCAGAATTGGCGTAACAATGGCTTCCTGGAGGATTGATGGGAAAGAACCTGTGGACAGTGAACTATTCACAATGGAAACCAGTGCAGGGAGGAGGGTGTTGGTGTTCTCTTTCACCATCCATGTGGGGAGAAGGTCCAGTCCACATGACTTGTTAGGTGATTTGTTAACAAGTCTAAGGACCTCATCATCATCAGCTAGGGTGAAGTCGGAGAGTTCAGGTACGTGTGCCGCGCAATCAACATGGACCTCATCATCGGTTTCAGAGGTTTGGGTGAGCAGACACTCAATGTTAGATCTTATTTTCACAACTTTGTCCTTAAAGAAAGTGGAGAACCGGTTGCTCAGTGACTTCAAGGATCAGCCAGATGGAAGGGAAGCAGCCCCTTTGTTTAACAATGAGTTGATTGTTTTAAACGCAGTTTTTGTGTTGGCGGATGAAAGCTGGGCCTTGAAGTATATTGATTTTTCATGACGAATGAGCTTAGTTAATTCATGGACCTGATCCATGTATTTTTGTCGGTCATCAGGATTTTAGTTTTGTGCCATCTTCTTTCAAGTTTTCTACGGTTGCGTCTGGCAAGGTGAATTTCGTTCGTGTACCATGGTTGGTGGGATTTGAACCTATGTGTTCTTATCTTGATGGGACAATGAGCGTCCAGGACACTTAGGACTGCGTTGTTGTAAAACACAACTTGGACATTGGGACTACTGTCATATGGAAACAACTTGAGAGATCGTGCAAGATCATCAGTGAAAGTATCAGTGTCGATGGAACGGTAGTTTCTTGTTTTCAATTGCACCACCTGTTGGTTGGGTTTGGCGTGATCAATGACGCATTTAATCACATGGTGATCAGAGTATAGCTTGTCCAAGTTTTCACAGTTTTGCACAAGGGTGTCTGTCTGACGTGAAATCACAAGATCAAGGGTATGCCTGTATTTGTGAGTGGGCCCGTGGACATGTTGCTGTAGGCCATGGTCAGCAAGCAATGTGAGAAACTGAGCAGTGTCCATTTTATTTAGGGTATCAAGGTGCAGATTGAAGTCCCCTAGTATTAGGAGATTTCCAGAGAGTGGTGAGATTTCGGCCAGGAAATCACTGAAGTCTCTCAAAAATTCTGAAGTATTCAGGCCATTCCTTGGTGACGGGGGCGGTCTGTAGATTGCAAATATACACAACTGTTTTGTGGCATCAGTAATGCAAGCAAGTTCAAATGAACGAGTTGATTCAATGTTAGACTCTGCAAAGAATAAATTGAGCGGTGCCTTGAAGATGATGGCGATGCCATCTCCAAACGTATCACTGTCACGTGGCTTGCTTAGGAATACATAGCCCAGAGGTGTGGCCTCACCAATTATCACTGAATCCTTACTTCTCAACCATGATTCTGTAATGACCGTGATGTCAACATCATGTTCAAGTATGTAGTCACATATGAGTGTGGATTTGTTCCTGATAGAGTTTGCATTCCAGAGATGGACATTGAGTTTATTGTATGTCTCGCGGGCGATAGGCTTCAAGTTATTCAAGTTCGAACCCGACTGCCTATGTGTCGATACCGCAGGTCTAGAACTAATGCAAACCGGTATTTGACTAATTCTCTGTGAGGTAGGTTCAATATTCACTTGGTATTGGTCCAATTTGGTTCGTCGTAAATGACGACCAGCTCGCCTACTCCTGATCCGGAAAATACCAAGATCTTTGAGGGCAATGTATGATGGTTGTGGTAGCCACAGTTTTACCAGTAGGCCTAAGGATGAGTAAATCAGATCGACTGTACTGCAGGGTACTACTAAGGGGCGGAGTTTGTGTAGAACTTGGTTGGTGATGCAGAAAAGTCCCATTCATGATAAGCGGCTGGGTAATAGTGTCTATTGGAGATGTCATTTGCATTTGAATGCGGGGCTGAACACCAAAGTCCAGTGAGGCATATACATGTATACACACATACCAGTTTAATCAGAGTCCAAGTTGCTGCAGGCAAAATCATGATGAAAAACACAAGTTCCAGAGATCAGATTGCCAAGTAAACAAAATCAACGGTTTCAGCAAATCACAAGAAGGTCTTGATCAATGTTTGATCATAATCCGACCGCAAAAGGATGAGAAGTCACAAACATTTAGCGGAGCAAGTTCTCTCTTAAAATCAAGCACAATCTGTTAAGTTTACGATTACTCTAACTGTGACTTCAGATACTTTTTTTATTGTTTGTATGTATTATCTCAACTTTGACTGCATCATTTTCAAGCAACCCCTAAAAATGACGGACTGACATGTCTTTAAGGTTGAAATGGCCCTACATTCTGTCATAGGCTTTTATTTCAAATTAGTGCTTAAAATGTTACCACACCATTATTTAAAACAACCCTCTATTCACATTTGAACAAATCAATTTTGGAACACTTTGACCTTCAGATACTTTTTTTATTGTTTGTATGTATTATCTCAACTTTGACTGCATCATTGTCAAGCAACCCCTAAAAATGACGGACTGACATGCCTTTAAGGTTGAAATGGCCCTACATTCTATCATAGGCTTTTATTTCAAATTAGTGCTTAAAATGTTACCACACCATTATTTAAAACAACCCTCTATTCATATTTGAACAAATCAATTTTGGAACACTTAAAAAATATGAAAACATCTGAATTCAATTTTTTTATCTGATTTAAATTGAAAAAATCTGATTGGTTTATTTTGTTCATTTTAGTTTTTGTTTTTAAATCAACAACCCTGCAGCCATTTTCACAAAAAAGTGCACAGCTTGCGCAACGTTCAGTCTTTAGATTAAAAAAAACAGTCTTTAGATCACCTCAGCCCACCATTTCACATGGTGTAATTCTCTGTAATTTTAATATACCGGTGTAACGATTTTTAATGTGTGTAAATTAAACTGTAATTCTGCCCTTTGGCCATGAAAGTTTAAATAAACCATTAATAATAATAACTAGAGTTTCGCGTTTGTTTAGTTACAAACGCAGAGTGGTCGGGCAGACAGCCTTTTCATTATACACTGCCCAGTTAAGTTAAGAATATATGTTTATGTAGAAAAAAGGATCAGGACATTAAATCCCTTCAAGCACAATCAATGTTTCAAAAAGGTATCTTTAACGGTGTAATAAATTTCAGTAAACATTCTATGTGCACAAACAGTTATTTCTGGTTTGATGACGTCATCAGTCAAAAATGGTGAGTGAATACTGATGAAGTTCGGAGAGGATAATTTCTCATTGTAAAGTTAAAATAACGTATGAAAATATGGGAAATATAATTGTTTGTATTAATAACACCTAACTTCCGGTTTGATGACGTATTGATAACACCTAACTTCCGGTTTGATGACGTCACAGCATTAGAGATCCAAAGGTGAACATTGTAATGGATATCATTATTTGGACTTCGAAGATATGACAGGGATCAAATGATAGAATTAAATTAAAACTATGATCTTTTTCAAATTCTCCTTAAGGCAACTTCCGGTTCGATGACGTCATGAATTTGAAACCTTGCCAAGTTATCTGTGGTTAATCAGAGAATGTCAAGGGGCGATTTGGTAAAATTTGGACGGATGGTTTTACAATTAAAAAAGGGAAACTCTATTTTATGTGCCGATAGGGGGCGCCCTTTCGGATGATGACGTCATCACACTGTTTTTTGCATCTTGCATTCCTCACTAAACACTTTCATAATATATATGTCTGTAGTAAAATGCTTCCGCTTTTGAGTTATATTCAGTTTTTATTGCACTTCCGGTAACACCGGAAGTAAAGGTCAAGCGGTTTTGCGTCCGGGAACACAAAATGTTTCTCACGGCATAGTCTACAACGTCACGAAAAAACGAACACGATACTCTATTTAGTTCAAAAGATATAACGCAAACTATTTTGTCAAAATTTGCCGTAAAATCGCTTGTAATTTGATACCTGATGACGTCATGATGACGTAACAAAATTTATAACATCTTCGTAACATGGTTCAAGTTCACACAAGGTTTTGTGATCATACCGTGACCCGTTCGGAAGAAATGCTGCTTTGTTTTGATGTCAGGCTAACGTCTTCATTTTGAATTCACCTAACTTTGACCTTCCGGTTGACCCGGAAGTAGAGGTCAAGCGAGTTCACGTACGCGACAAAAATTGTTTAGCGATTAGTGATCTATCTGATTACAGAATACAAACATCATTGATTGTTTAGTTCAAGAGTTACAGGTGAAAGTAATTGGTCACTTTTTGAGATAAAATCACTTGTAATTTGACACCTGATGACGTAATCATGACGTCAGAGTAATATGCACCACTTCGGAAGAGGGTCGATATATATTGAAAGTTACAAGTTCATACCATATACCGATTAAGAGAAAACCCGCGGAGAAGTATTGTCCGGAAAAAAAAAGAAAGAAAGAAAGAAAGAAAGAAAGAAAGAAAGATTAATCGTAACAGATCCAAAGAGTGGTCGGGTTGTGCCCGACCACTCAATAATAACAACAATAACAAACACCATGTGAATGATATCTCTTGGTGAGTCGTGTGGTTCTAAAAAGAACCAGTTGATTTATTGCTTTTAATTGTTGTTTCCTGTGAAGCGCATCGAGACCTTGGTGTGATGCGCTATATAAAAACTGTGTTATTATTATTATTATTATTTAACTTGACGTTTCCAAAAGTATGCTTTGCTTGTCATCATAAATACTGCTTTGGTTATTTTTGTTTTTCTTCATTTAAACTGGTTAATAAGAAGGAATACGTATGTACCGGTATGTACATTTATAAGAAAGTAAAAGAACTGTTATTGGTGGTGATCTAAGGGTAAAACAAAACCCCTAGCAATCAGCTGCCCATGAAGCTCACTCCTCCTCCTCCCCAACCCCTTCAGCAACCCAAGCATTCGTTTTAACATATGGATAGTTATGGGGTACCACTATTGTACTTATATTAGCTTCAATCCTACTGTTCTCTATTGTTTCCACTGAAATCGCAAACACCATAGCATCTCAAGTGTGGGCTAATGAGATTTCTACAGGCCAACTTGTGGGGTACCATTATCCCTTAAAGCCATTTATTTAAACAATAGGGCCTACCTGCAGTAGGTTGTATCGGTAGACATCACACAGGTTTCGACAACCAATCTCAGTGCTCATGTACCAGCCATTGAAAGGACAAGCTGGGAACTCGATCCCGCCAATGTCCAAAAGTAGAGAGGAGACAGCTGGCACAGCATACCACTGAAGCCCAAGCTCTGCAAACCAGTCATATCTTTGATGAAAGGAAACAAAAATATCATTCAAGTGCCATCTTTAAAGTTCAAAAATAGTAGGATTGGTGCTACATTGTAGTAGCAACAGCACAGCTACTAAAAAAGATAGTATGGATCAAGATGGACTCACATTTGATGTGCTAAAAATGGCTCATTTCAGTGTTGGAGTACTCGCACTTGTACTTGTACTCAAGTACAACTTGAGTACATGCAAGTACATGTACTTGCCCCGTACTCAAAAATTATTTGGACTCAGCTTGTACTTGATTCTTTGTACTCGAATTTTGGTACAGACTCGTTGGTTTGGACTCGGTACTCGACTCCAGTACTTGGAAGTACAAATCGAGTACATGTTCGATTCCATAGCTCATCCTAGAATGCAACGCGAGCAGGATGGCAGTCTGCATTACTTTTTCCCAAGCAAAATCCTTGTCCCAGTGATGTGTATTGTCTGTTGCCTAAGGAAATCTCAGGAATTTTACAGAAATTATAGTTCGAGTGATCGCAAAGCCTTTCCACATACATGTACATGTACACATATGGACTCACATGTGCTACATCATTGCACTTTTTTCTTAGCTTTATGGTTGTATTAGTGATTGAATACTGAAGTGATATTTGATGGCAAATAATAGCAGATGGTCATGAGAATGACCAGAGAGTGTGTGGCCCTGAACTTGTCCAAAGTTGGAGGTGTAACATAATTCCTATTACTACCGGTACATCTCCCCCTTTTTTGAAGATAAATTTGTCACACTGAAGATTAAACATAAAATGTAAAGCACAATTGTTTCCTTTAGTTGCTGTGTCTTAACCTTTGTCTTCTGTTGGCCACCTTTGCACATCACTGAAATCTAGTAGTAAACTTATCAACTCGAAGTAGCTAGTAGTAACTCATTAACCGGCTTTCTAACTCAACTAGCGAACATCTCAACTGTAGCATTTATACTGGAGCATTACAACTTCTGCCTTATGCTGAATTGGGTGCAAACAGGCAGTAAAACACCAGTTGTTGCAGTATCAGGCAGGTTTGCGGCTGATGCGACCTGAACGTGTTCGCTATTCGCACAGTTGACTTGGTTTGGGTTTCGGTGAACTGTCGTGGTCTTGCGCACGTTGCTGTTCTTGGCGAGGGCCATCGCCACAGTCACCTGGCGCGACTGCAAAACAAACTCGCTTTTTAGGATGCTCGAAAGTGAGGTGTGTAGGCTGTGCATTTCCACTTGCATTGCGTGTTTGGCTTTGCTTTGGAATTTCTCGCAGTTGCCATCTGTTGCGTCGCAGTATGTTCCCATTTGGCGTCATGACCTCATATGACCAAGGCTCATCCCTGCCTTGGTGATGTGCCTGGAATCCATGATCGGTCAGCCTGGTCACAAAGTCTGACATGCTGTCCGGCATGTAGTGGCGGGAGACCTTGTCCAGCGTGTTTGTCATGTTATTATTATTATTATTATTATTTATTCGGCCAAAACATTCAAAATACAAACATGTACATGTACATACAATGTAAGAAATGTCATACATCAAGGACAGTCAAGATGAAAGATAAATTGTGTAACAAATACCAATCATAAAGAATAGATGTGTATAGGTACAGTAGGTAAGAATGAGATGGGGAAGAAATGGGGGTGGGGATGAGGAATGTATAGAAGGGGAGCGGATTGGGGAAGAGTGGAAGTGGGAGGGAGTTCAACAAGCAGAGTAAAGACAATCCAATCTAAGATGGCCAGGATGAACAAAAGTGAAAACACTGTGACTCAAAAGCCTGTTCATCCAATCCTAGGTTGGTAACATGAAATAACTTTAAAATATAACTATTAAATACAAGTAATATGAGAAGTTAAAAATAAATCTGGAAATTAAAAATGCTATAATAATGGAGGGTAATATATATGAATAAAAAAATGGGTAAATAAATATCTGCTAAATATGTAAATGAATTTAAATGAAAATAAAAAAGTAGCATAAATAAAATAATTCAGTAAGAAACACAATAAGTGATAAACAAGTAAGCAATGAAACATACAAACGAGTTGAAAAAAAGCATCTTAACAAAGACAAGAACAATCCGATAAAACCATACAGAAAAAACATAACAGATACCGTACACATGCAAACAGACAAGCAAAGTTACAATTATACGAACAGTCTAATACATGTACAAACGTAACACACACACACACACCCACACACACAAAACATATTAACAAAAAAACAAACAAACGACAAACAGCCCAACACCCCAACACCCCAACAAACAAACAAACAAGTTGGCAGCGCTACTATTTGGCAGCTCCACTTCAGGCTCCGATCTCTGACTTTGATCGACCTATTCTTCTGCAATTTCTATCATGATTTTTACACCAAGATACAGATTAGGAACTGCTGATCAGCATGGTTCGCCAAACTTACTGTGATATGATCCCATTTTGGAGAATATTTGGGATCTTTTTCTGGACATTGCTGTGTACTTTGATCATCAGTACAGCAGCCCACGCTCCAGCTTCCACACAACACCGATCACCAACAATAGCGATCAAGAAGACAAGCACTTACAATGGACCACCACCAACAACAGCAATCAAGAAGACAAGCATTTACAATGGACCACCACCAACAATAGAGATCAAGAAGTCAAGCACTTACAATGGCCCTGCACCTAATCCTCATGGTGAATGCATTGTGCCTCAACACCTACATGGATTAGCCAATTGTCAGCAAGGGACAGTAATGATGACTTCTGCCCAGGCATTCTGTCTTCAATTAAAGTACCAACCTACAGAGCTCTATTCCCTGTACCAAGGGCCTGATTTCTACACCACATGTCCACTCCAGCCACAGATATGCAGGAAAATCACATATTTAAACATCAGACGGACACCATGCATGATTCATGCACCAGTGGACGTCACAAAGACAGATGACCCTCGAAAACGCACAACTCTACGCAGACGATCTCGTAGAGGTTGCAAAGCAGGGATTCACAGAAGGAGGCCGACTCCCCAAAGTTTGATTCCAGTAATTATTGGTTATGGAAGACAAACCTCTTTTTCCACTGGTGAATATCATCCGGACTATCTACACAATGGATCTGCGAACTGTTGCCATAGTAACCTAGTGCAGCTTACTGCAAACAAGACGGCGAAAGCAGAACATACTACCTCCTTCTGTATGCTCAACGCAAGATCTCTGAAAAATAAAACCAACGCCTTCGTTGACTTTGTTATCGACAATAAATTTGATATTGTTGGTGTCTGCGAGACATGGCTATCCGCTGACGATGATGCTGTAATTGCAGAACTCAACCCTGGAGGATACACGTTCAAGCACATACCAAGGACAGGTAAACGAGGTGGCGGTGTCGCCTTTCTATATCGGAGTGATTTAACTGTACAAATCCATCCAGCCCTTGATAATATCAGTTCCTTTGAACTGATACAGATGGATATCATCCAGAACTCAAACGCTGTACACCTGGTCGTCGTCTACAGACCTCCAGGATCATCAACTCCTTTCAAAGATTTTCTAAATGAGTTCTCGGATGTACTGGACAACTACCTTTTCAAGAAGGCCAGTTTGATTATTTCCGGAGATTTCAACATCCACGTTGATACAACTTCACCTGAGGCCAGAGGTTTCTGTGATGTTCTAAGTGCATATGGCCTTGAGCAACACATCCGTCAGCCAACCCATATACGTGGCCACACTCTAGACCTGCTTATTTCACGGAAAGGGATCGACCCCACAGGACTGTCTGACATTGACATAATCGGTGGTATTTCTGATCACTCCGCCCTTACTTGTAACCTACATACTCCAAGTATGCGAACTGCCCGGAAGTCTGTTGTGTCACGAAACATTCAGTCTATACAACCTGCTTGCTTCATCGAGGATTTGAATGAAGCGTCATTCACAGAGAAATGCACTGTGAGCAACGCAGATCTGGCTGTCGGCAGCTACAACTCCATTCTGATAGCTACTTTGAACACACATGCTCCTGTCCAACAACGTTCAGTGAAAATTCGACCAAATACTCAATGGTACACCCAGAAAATAGCAGATGGAAAACTTCTTCGTAGGCAGCTTGAAAGGAAGTGGCGATCTTCCAAGCTTGAAATACATCGTCAGTTGTATCGCCAACAATGTCAGCGAGTCCAATCGTTAGTTCGTGCTGCAAAAACAGGGTACAACTTGAAACGAATTAACGACTGCTCAGGTGACACGAAAAGACTGTTCAGAGTTGCAAGCGATCTTTTGAACAGAAAGCAGCCTTCCCCTCTTCCAACACATGTTTTCGCTGAAGATCTAGCTGCTCGTTTCAGCAACTTCTTCACCAGCAAGATAGAATCTATTCGTGCCAGTCTGCCAGCCATCAATCAAACATCTTCGTCACGTAAAACTCGTGCAGTCTTAGACACCCTTGCTCCTGCATCTACAGATGAAGTTCGCAACATCATGGCAAAGTCACCAGCAAAGTCATGTGAGTTAGACCCGATCCCTACCTCTCTTCTAAAAAAATGTATGTCTGCCATTACCCCAGTCATCACTAACATCATCAATGTGAGCTTGAATACTGGAGTCGTTCCTGAAGTCCTAAAGAGAGCGATTGTTCGACCAACATTAAAGAAACCTGGTATGGACACAAATTCCTTGCAAAGTTACCGTCCAATATCCAACCTTCCATATCTCTCCAAAGTCTTGGAACGTGTGGCATTCTCTCGTCTCTCAGATCATTTGCAGGAACATTCGCTACTTGACAGCAATCAATCAGCATACCGTTCAAATCATAGCGTAGAAACACTTCTCACAAATTTAACGGACAACGTACTTCAACAAATGGATAATGGAAACATCACAGCCCTTGTTCTGCTTGACATGTCCTCAGCATTTGACACGGTAGACCATCGTATCCTCATCGATCAGTTATGCTCGTTGGGAGTCAGCGGAACAGCTTTGCAGTGGTTCATGTCCTATCTGACAAATCGCTCTCAGCGTG